TGGTAGTGTGGTCTATTCGTACCATCAAGGTCCGAGTGCCGTCTGGACATCTTGCGAGACATAGAATAGGATAAAACGGCAGTCCACTCTGGATGAGATCACCTTTCCGGAATCAAGTTTATGTGAAATGCAATTTAAAAGCAATGCCTTCTCATATTATGGGAAAATTCAGCTACAACTTGTTCATTACCTTAACGATATGGGGTGAATACACATAATATGTATGTATGCATGTTGCGTGAAGTCAAGTTGTGCTGAAGATGGTGGATCAGAATGTGGCTATAAACTACATTTCCTTCAGATACTCCTACATAACCAGATTGAAGTGGAGGCAATGCCAGACTCTCTCATAACATTTTGACGCTATCATGCCTCCGAGAGGAACTGCGATTTGGGGACTGGCTTAGACTGTGATTTATTTGTCTCTGTATGATTTTGAAACTATTAATAGATTATATGAAGACCAAGATGTTGCGGCCTCTGTTATGGTCGCGGTCTCCTTTCGGTTTATAGAAGTGGGTTGACCTCGTTGTCGCAAATTGGTCTTGTTGTCAGGGCGACTATATAGAACGCACCTAGTCCGAAGTCGTCTGCCACAGTAGTTGTCATGATTCCCAACATCAAAAAGTGGACAGTGAGAATGGTAATAATGACAACTACTATGGCAGACGACTTCGGACTAGGTGCGTTCTGCATAGTCGCCCTGACAACAAGATCAAGTTGCGACAACGAGGTCAACCCACTTCTATCAATAGATTGCTTATGGGGATGAAGAAACTATGGTACAGTTTCCACCATATAAACGTCGTATGGAAGAGGCGTAGGCTGCTTTGAAGTTCACTTCCACACTTTAACCGACTGGCACTGTTAAAATTGTACATTGCAGTAACCAAGTTCCATTTATGCTGAAGGTGAGGTGGAAACGGCAGTTCATGCTGCATCATAAGATCTACTCTTTTCAACGTGGCAACATTCATCAATCTGTCTTCATTCACATAAACGACCTAGGATGACTAAAGCAGGCCCACAGACGACCTGAATGGGGCTGAAACTGCACTCCAGTCTTGATGATGACATTCTTTTGGCATCCAGTGCCTTAGTTTTCCTCCTTAGTTTGCCCAGGACGCTGCCGTAATCAGAGCGAATGCAAATCTGACAGTCAGAGGCCGAATGCCTTTACCGAGACGAGTTTCAGTGGTTGTCCGAAACTTGCGAATTCATTTATCATGAATGGTTTCATTTACTCTATTTCTCATGCATTTTGACCTGGTGACTTGGCCTTAGGCTCAGCCCAAGCCATAATTAAGAGTGAAACCAGCTGTGGCTCCCACCGGTTTCGGGGCGCCTTGAGTTTTCGGTACGTCTCTGAGGTGATTCGGACGAGAAGTTGGTGTGCAGCTCAGGCAGACACACATGCAATACGCCTAAAATGGGCCGTAGAGCCGCATTTCTTGAGTTAGTCCTGTCCAAATGATGGGCCCGCCGGAGTGGGCTTGCCGATATGTGATTCACTCGGTGCGGTACCGACAAGAGAGAAGAGGCGAAAACGCCCGGGCGCCAGACAAAGTGGAGGAGGCGTGTCCACATAAACGGTCCGACGGGTCGACGGGACGCAATTAATCATAGTCGACTTGTCAAGTCTAGTATGACCGTTTTCTCCCCTCGGCCTAACCCACTCCCATCTCACCATTTTCCCAATGCAACCCTCAGCCTTTACAAGCTTACAAACGCTCTGACTAAATAGTCTACAGACCAGCCACCAGCTCTAGACCTGTCGGTTTCTCTACCAACACCGAACAGATCTGTTGCCAACACAACCAATGAAAATCACTCTATAGTCGGTGTGTTTACCTAACTCTGACTCAGAAATGGGTTTGTCTGCTGTATTTTGTGGGTATCTACATCCTCATTTTTCGAGTAGACCCCATGTGTGTGTGTGTGTGTGTGTGTGTGTGTATGTCTGTCTGTCTGTGGGGGTACTGGCAAAGTTATCATTTAGCGCCCATTCGAGGCTGGAATGAGGCCGTCCTCTTTGGACTTTTTCCATCGTGGGCAGAGAGGTTTTGGAAGGTGTGATTTTGCCTTGGTCGTGGGGTGTGTGGCCTGAAAGCCTAGGCAGGTGCATAGGCAAGCGGCGGTTGGCCTTTTTACGCAAAACCCGGGACCGACTGTTGAAAGTGGCTTTCGGCCGGCCGCGGGACGCTTTGATGATGTAGCACAAGATTTGCTGTGTGCCGGGCCCCTTTTTCAGCGTATCCATCATCCACACGGTCTGTAGGGTTCGTGTGATTGTGATAATGCTGCTAAATGATCTGGCCTACCGACGTGTTTTGACACTGTGTATCCGGGACAGAGCTTATCAGCGTTCTGGGCTCCGGAGAGGAGAGGATCGAGGCCAAAGACTGGAGTTGCGATGGCACGACGGCTTTAGGCAAAGGGAAGAGTCGAGCCGAAGCCTGGGGCCAGGTGGAAAAGGCGAAAAGGCTAGAATGATAAGATTCAAAGACCTCCTGGCCAGATAATCTGGAACCAGAAAGGTCAAAGGTTTGTCCGATTTCGTTATGCAACGAAGCCTGCTATAAGGCGAGGGTAGACGGGAAGATATGATAGTTCGCACGATCAACTTGGCCCACCGACGAAACACACTTCCAAAGCCGGAATGCAGAAATGATTTGCCTACCAGAGCTAATCAAATGCCATTAGCGAGCTTACTCGAGGGAGAATGTTGGGCGTCTTCGCCTGTGAACCGATTCGTGTAATGCCCAAACAAGAGGTGAATGGCCGAAGCTTTCGAATCCTGTACAACGAGGCTATGGAAGGTAGCCAGTTTTGGCAAGTTAGTTACAATTCGAGATGAAGTTTCACGCAATCCCCCATTCATTATATGCAATTCAGACGTAAGAAAAGCCAGATTTAGAGACACGGGAGATTTGGGATATAGTAATGAATCGGTTATAATGTCTTAACTAATAGAAAATGAGGTGAAAAGATGGTTATTAATAAGCTAGTTAAGGGCCCAGATGTTGCGATGTCATTATCGAGAAAGAACTTCAGTGAAGCCTGAAACGGGTAAATAATTAGCTAATCTTGAAGTTTGCATTCATAGAAGTGGGTTGACCTCGTTGTCACAACTTGGTCTTGTTGTCAGGGCGACTATGTAGAACGCACTTAGT